GAGATTAAAAAAAATGGCTTGCAACAACTCTGACTTGAAAAATAATGCCCTAAAAGAAGATACCATGTTAAACTGAAGCAGCAGTTTTAATAGTTTGTTATCAAATATTGTAAATTTGATAGCAGTATGAGCTGTGTACATGTCCTCTAGTTGTGGAAGAGTGAGAAATTTCATTATCTGGCAAAAAGCTAAGAAGAAAAGGATTACAGTGTTAATTCATTCCTAAATGATTTGGGGTATTTTTTTTTTTTGGCAAAGTACATTCTGAAGAACTGCTGGGTGGTTTCTCTGTAGAAGAGGCTTCCTTAGTGAATTCAAGACAGTTGAGCAAGAGAAAAGAATTCCTGTTATTCTTAAAAGCTTCTCTTCTAAAAAATTGGTGATGAGACAATATTTTATCTACTTTTCCCTTATATCTGGAAATCTCCCATGCTGAACTATAGTAAAGGTCACTTGTTTTTAGCATCTACTGCACTTTACTTTGAAAAGTGAAGATAATTGTCTCTCTATTTGCAGCAGAGCAATTCTGGACTGTTTGTAATGTCTTGATGTTGCAAAATCTGAACACTTTCATGAGCAGGTAATTCAGTGTGGGGCTTTTACTGTTTTGTATGTGTTCTTGTTTCATATCTGGGGAAGAAGGAATGGAAGAGAAAGTGGGATCATTGACTTGTGGATCCTTTTGGTGTGTTGATTGTTAATATTTGAATTAAAATTCTGTATCTTTTTATAGCATTATCATTGAACAGTTCATATACTGCCCTGATGCCAGTAGAAAGCAGTTTATTGACTACTTCAATATCTTTCTAGCTGGCTGTGTTCTAGGCTGGTTTAATCACAGCTACAGCCACACACCAAAAAAAACCTGCTAGAAGTTTATATAGTGGATCTTCTATTAAACCTCACTTTTTAAAGTGAAATTCCTGCCAACCTGTGAAAGCTTTAATGCTTTTTAAAAAATTGCTGACTGGTGTAGATGATCTTGTGGGTGTGAACAGATCAGTTACATGGCATCATGACTGTGGTGCCAGAGGTGGTATCAATGGCCCATGAGTGCAGCCAGCTGGATTTTTAGGTGCTCTGCTGCACACAGGCTTCCAAGCATGGTGTGGAAGAGAGAGATACTCAACATTTCAGGAAACCAAGTTAGATCTGAGCTAACTCCAAGAAGAAATGTTGAGGCAAGCACCTCTGTGTCTAAATGAAAACCTTTTACTTACTTTCTTGCTGGGTATGTGACCCAGTGCAGATTCTGAGCACCCACTGATGGTCTGCAGCAGATATTTTTTGTGGGTGGGAGGTGTCCTAGGTTCAGTGCTTGCTACCTAGGGATTGGCACTTGGAATGCATGGGAGCAAGCTGTTGCTCCTATGATAAGGTGAGACCAGTCAAAAAGGACTGGTTGCATCAGGTCTGATGAAAGGAGAAATATAATTGGGGCATGGTAGCAGCTCCTAAGAGATCTATGATTTGCCAATATCCATGGCAATTTTCCTGCTGTGCTCTGGATTCAAATTCAGGGCAGCAATCACCAAAGGGCTGTCACCCTCCTTGAAGGCTTATAGGAGCCCTGTCATTTCTTGTGTTATCAGTGAAACCCAGAAGCAGACATTCTCAGGGAAGAAAGTGACTGTGTAGAAGATGAAGTGAAAACTATCAAGTGCACCATCTTGGCACGTTGACCCACAAATCACTGAGGGCATGGAGAGCACACCAGCAATGTGTTTTGCTATGTTCTTGCACTCTTTCTTGGGCTACACACAGCTGAGACAGAATCCAGACTTGTCCAAACCCTTAGTTTGACCTCTCATTTGTTCCCCACTTTTTCTTTTCAACCACATAATAGCTTGGATCTCAAGAACTTAGATCAGCTTTGGTATTGCTAGCAGAAGAAAGGCTAGTGGCAATTAGTCATTGCCAAAGTGTGTTTTCTAGATTTCCAGCATTACCTGGAAAGGAAATAAAGCTTAAAGAAGTACTGGACATGCATGCTGTGAAGATAGATAGATATGGATAATTGTCTTGCATTTTTTTTGTACTGCTGCCATTCAAATATTTAGTCAAAACACTTGGCAGATGCAAATGAATTTGTTCCCACCACAGAAACACAGACATCACAGCCAAAACTTTTCAAAGACAAGTATCTAAAATTAGACACCAAAGTGTTTTTAGAACCCAGAATAAAAATGATTGAATTTTAACAACTGTGGAATACTCACAACTCTCTGCAAGTGGCTTCATTACTCCAAATACAAGAACTTGTGGAAGACACATGATTTCTCCAACCAGGGTGGGAAGAAAAGCCTCATCCTAATAAAGTTAATTACCAAGCTCCCATTCCCAAAAGTCAGTAGTTTGTTCCTCAGTTTCTGGGATGGCAGCAGCTGACGCAGGGTCACTGGGGCTGCTGCTAAGAGTTTAAAACTGAGTTCAGTGGGAGTTTTGCAGCTGATCTCTGAGGGTTGGAGTGTTATTGGTCTGGTAAGAAATTGTGTATATGCTTCTTTACAGTGTAACTTTTCTCAGCCCTGGTGTCTACAGGAAGAGAAACAACAGCAACAACAATTTTGACCATGCCTTTGGTCAACAAAAAGATAAAACACAACAGAGAGTGTTGGTTAACTGGTTAATTGTGTATATGCTTCTTTACAGTGTAACTTTTCTCAGCCCTGGTGTCTACAGGAAGAGAAACAACAGCAACAACAATTTTGACCATGCCTTTGGTCAACAAAAAGATAAAACACAACAGAGAGGGACCACAGACTTGCTGAAAGAGTAGATTACATAAACAATGATGAAATTAGGAAATAGTTTTAATTCTCTTAAGGATATATACCCAGCATTAAGGAAAAAACTTGCAGGAAAAGCTTTTGTCCATAATGCTACCAAGCAAAATCCTTCTGGAAGGTAGGAAATGAGGGAGGACTGGGGGGAGAGGGTGAGAAGAGCAGGGGAGAATCTCAAATCAGCCTTCCTGATCCTGATAAGGATCAGGCTGCATAAAAAGGAACTTGCATTTTAACATAGGAGCTCAGAAAAACTGCACATTTCTTACTGGTAACTCTTCTGGAGACACACACAGCATAAAAACTCTTAGGGGGGGAAAATTAGATTCAGAGTCAGAACCTTTCAATTTTTTGCTTTCCTAAGTAATTTTTTTTAATGCTTACTGGATTTTTGGCCCATCCTGTTTATACTCCTCCTAAATCTCAACCTTTTGGCTAACTACCAGATGTGACTCTTTTTTTCCCAGGCTGACCTCCCCTGGAGACTCAAGATGCACAACAGCACCCCCGAAATCCCCCCTGCGGCTGGAGCCTCCAACGGGACCTGGTCCACACCGCCCCCGAGCCCTCTGAGTTCTCCCTGGGTGTGTTGGTGCTGCTGGCTGTCCTCATGGTGCTGCTGGCTCTGGTGACCATCCTTGGCAATGCCCTGGTGATCCTTGCCTTCATCCTGGACAGAAACCTCAGGCACAGGAGTAACTATTACTTTCTCAATCTTGCCATTTCGGACTTTGCCGTGGGTAAGTCCCCACCTGGAGGCACGGGCTGCTTTTGTCCTGGGAATCTTAGGAGTAATAATGGGGCTGATTTTTTTGGGTTGTTTTTTTCTAAGAGGACTATTCCTAGTTGCGTGTCCAGGGTGGAAGCTGCATGAAGTGTTTCAGCAGCCTGTTATATCCCAAAATATGAGAAAAACATTATGCATTTCAAGTGGAGCTTAGTTGGCATTACCTAACTTCCATCAATTTTTGTTTTGTGATATTATGTTTACCTGAATGCCTACTTTTCATACTAAATTGGGTTAAAAGCCTTGTACCCTTTTGATTCAAACTGATTTGTATTTCTGTAGCTGCATAATTTAGCTTCAGGGTACGCCTAAATTATCCTTAATTTCTGCTTGATCCTAATTGCTCAAAGCACACCCCTCCATGCTTTCTTTGCTTATTTTTTATAGTATATTTCATCTACCTGATTCTGACCTTCAACAACTTTTGCTTTATTTCTGTGCCTCTGGAGCTATAGCTGGATTTGAATAGAGATCTCTTGAGTCTTAGTTAGGGGGAGGATAACAGGAATTGTAAGAGTTTTAGGGAAATGGAAAGTCTCAAGATACTCTTCAGTACCTGTTAGAGGAACACAGATTATTATGAAGTAAGTCTAATCTTGAAATAACACTTTTTTTCCCCCCCTGTGGGTGTTAAAATCTATAACACAAGCAAGTGTTAGTTACTCTGTAGATGCAGTGATTCCATTTCATTGCAGCCTTGATGTTCTTCTCTGCCTTTCTGCATCACAGCAAGCTACACCATTAGCTCTTCAGCCTCACGAGGCTGCCTTCTGTGTCTGCAGTGATCACCTAGAAATCCATTAAAACAGGAACATACTGGCACCTTCACAACATTTGCATTTAACAGCCTAAATTTAGCCATGGGTGCGGGTCACTGGCGTAGGTTCCCACCACTTGGTGTGTCCCCATAGATAACACCCTATCAGCTCACCACTTTTTAGTGGCTAGGATCAAGAATTATGATGAGAAGAAATGTTAGACTGGGTGTGCTTCATTAACTGTGCCAGTTTTGTCACTTTTTTGATCATACAGCTTTAAATATTAGTCTGAAATTCATATTGTGTTTCTATAAAAGTTATTTCTGGAGCCCTTTTGGCCACCATATCATGTTTCTGTGTTTTCATGAGCACTGACTGATGTGCATTTGATTCATTTCCATAGGTGTGTTCTGCATGCCTCTCTACATCCCCTATGCCCTGACAGGGACGTGGCACTTGGGCAGAGATGTCTGCAAGCTCTGGCTGGTTGTGGACTACCTCATGTGCACAGCTTCAGTATTTAACATTGTCCTTATCAGCTACGACCGTTTCCTCTCAGTCACCAGAGCTGTAAGAAGAACGTTTCTAACTGCTTTTTATACATTGAGATTTCTATAGAACTCAGAGTGTTCACAATTAACACCAGAAATCAAATATTCCTTCATTATTGTACTGTTTTTGCCTGGATAAATGTTGATGCTTCAGTGTTTCACTGGGACTTGGAGATAGGATGATGCCTTGGCCATTATTTCAGTGTTTGCCTCCTGCTGTCTGGATTACAAGAGTATAATTAGGTGGGAAGGTCACAGTAGGAAAGGGGCAGCAAGAATATGGAGAATTGTGTTTTGGTCATTGGAATGAAAATTAGGTTGAGTCAAGGATGTGCTCAGGCTTGGGATAAATTTTAAAAGGAGAAGAGGGTGTGGAAGGCGGTGTGGAATGGACTGGCTGAAGATCAGATCAGCATCTGCATTACCACAGGGATTGATTGACATGAGCTGCTAACGAGCAGTTGGGTGGAAACTAATTCCTTAAAGAGGTGTGGAGTGGACTGGCTGAAGATCAGATGAGCATCTGCATTACCACAGGGACTGATTGACATGAGCTGCTAACAAGCAGTTGGGTGGAAACTAATTCCTTAAAGCAAAAAGAATGAATCAAAATATGCAGAGAGGTAAGAGGTGTATCCTTAGTATCATCATTCTTCTGCTTCAGAAGATACCCGAGGGAGCCAGTGGTAGATATAATGCAGCTCTACCTGATATTTGGACCAGATAGAAGACAATCAGCATCCTTTGCTTTTGATGAGTCTGCTAGCTCAAGTGACATGGGTTGTGTTAGTTTGGGAGGTTCTTGTCTGGGAAATGCTGACACAAAGTCTAATCTTTCTCCTCTTCCTCAGTGTTGTGGTTTTACGGTTGATCGCTGCTGCTGCTTTTTAAAAAGCTAGAACAATAAAGTGTGAAAATCCCTGTATTTAAGAAATAATAATATTTAAAAGTATTAATGAAGTTGCAGAGCTCATAATGTGAGAAATGTAGATTAGAAAAGCCTCTGCAGCCCAGATGAGCTCCATGCTCTTATGCACTGGTGATGGACCTCGTTTACATGATCAGATTCTATGAGAGAAAACCTCTAGGTAATTAGGATGGAGTGAGTCCAGGAGCCTTTAACCTAGGCCTGTTATCCCAAAAAAGAGATACCACACTTCCTCAGGGACTTGGGATTCACCTCTGCTGCAAACCTAGCTTGTGGTCTGGGGCCAGTCATTTCAGAGTTAACTATTTGTGAAGCTGTGCTGAGCTTCCTGTTTTCTGTCTGCTAAATCAAGATGCTTGTGGTCTCCCAAAGTCATTATTGCAGAACGTTCTCTAAGTCAATATGAGGTTTTAAGATGTAGAGGAGTCTGAATCTGCAAGCTGTTTAAAACAGAATCTGATAGAATGTGTGTAACACTGCCCTAGTGCTTTATTGCTGGTGAAACAGAGACAATTCTCCTTGTGTCATGTGTGGCTGTGACATTGTTTGTGTAGCATGCAGGTCCTGTGCTAATGAAGAGCATACAAAGCTGATGAGAAAGTTCTGGGTCTGAGTAAAGCCTGGGATATAAAATTTTGAACAGTATGGAGGAAGTAAAATTATCCAGCTTCTCATTAAATGATCATCCAGTGCTCTGAAAGATGCAGGAGACCAAGAGCTAGAAGCACATATTGTACATATTGTCTGGGCTGTTACAAGAGCAGTTTTAACTCTTGGATAACCTAACTTTGGGTGACATGATTTTAATTCTTAGTATTTTTTTGAAAGCTAGATATTTGTGGCTAGAGAGTGAAATAAATCAATGCAATCTGGATAGACATGAAACCACCAAGATTTACAGTAATGCAATGCCCTGTTT